ACTAAATAGGCCAGCATGGTACGTCGCAATAAATTAAATGTGTTGGCCCGGCACGGCACGAATACCTTAAAGGCACGAATTAAAATGGGCCGACTGAGCCCATTTGACACCTCTAACCATAACCATTCGTCCTCAGTCACTGATTTCTGTAACAACAAACCACCCAAGAGTCAACTCCCGAACCGTATTAATAGAGGTATCCAGAAACCCACTTATGAGGCCAACCCAAAGTGCAATGTCAAATATCCTATGAATAATTATATGTCTACCCATCGGTTGTATAAATAAAATAAGTCATTTACATATCAATTATCTACTGTATCTATTCCTAACAGTGTGCATGAAGCTTTAGCTTACCCTCGTTGGTAGACAGCGATGAACGAAGAGATGAAGTCCCTAAAGAAGAATGCTAACTGTGAGATAATTGATTTGCTAGCTGGCAAGAAACCTGTGGGATGTAATGGGTTTATACAGTGAAGTACAAGGTAGATGGTACCGTTGATCGGTTCAAGGGGAGGTTGGTAGCAAAAGGGTACACTCATACATATGGAATTGATTACACGAAGCGCCAGTAGCTAATATCAACATGGTTCTAGTATTGTTGTCCTTAGTTGCAATTTGGAATGGCCCCTACAACAATTTGATGTGAAAAATGTGTTTTTGCATGGAGACATGACAAAAGAAGTTTACATTGATCTTCCACTTGGGTGTAACGTTTCAGAAAAATATTGTCGAAAAGTATGTAGATTGAGAGAATCCATGTATGGTTTGAAGTAGTCTCCACGAGTATGGTTTGGTAGGTTTGCTTTAATTATTTTATTTTAATTATACAATTATGGAATGGTACTTTAAGAGAAAGAGTTTATATCCTCTATCAATTAATCCGGGTAGTTCAAATCCTCCTTCAAATCATCTAGGTAGTTCACTTCCTCCCTTGAATAATTCAGGTAGTCCAAATAATTCGGGTAGTTCACACCATTGCGTAACAAAATGAAAAATCAGTAGTTGTGATAGCTTGGTTGTTTACATTGAGAAAGATGTCTTGTATTAGCAATGAAATTATAATACGACGTTTTCATGACATGAAACCTCGTCGGCAACAATTGTAGGTTAATTATAATATTATTTTTTTCAATTAATTATGAATAACATTAGTATTGTTTAAATTATAAGGATATTTAGTTGTCTTTTTCTTTCCCCTATTGTTGAGCTTTTAGCCTTTAAAAATTGCACCTTTACTAAAAAATTCTTGGATCCACCAGTGCCTTTCCCCAACTTGATCTGCCATAAATTCGTGTGTACAACTCCCAGATAAGATTGCTCTTCATCATAATAAGATTGAATTTATCAGAGTTATCAGGGCAGAGTAGAGAGCAACATGTGTGTGGCAAAACGTTGCAGTGCATAGGATAGGACAGAGAGAGAAGAAAAAGGTTATTTGTTTGGGCACAAAAACAAAAGGAAGGGGGCCACGAAAGGCGCCGGTGATAAGGGGCTTTGTCTTGGAGCCTCCTGATCTCTCCACTCATTCCCAATATTATGGGAATGATTATTGCCTTTGGGGTTCCTTTGGAGCACATTGGCTTTGTTTTTTGCATGTTGGGTATTGTCGCAAGTGGATGCTTCCATTCCATTTGGTCCCCATTTTGCTTTCTGAACCCCGCACCTTGCCCTTGTCTTTGCCTTTCGACCTCTAAAAATAATCACATTCTATTCATACCCAGCAAAAATAAAGCCTGGAAAAAAGTGCAAAAATCCAATGGCTCCTTCCCTTCCCACCACTACCTCTTTGTTATTATTTTCTTAGCTATGTGGACTTGGGAAGCACATAATATTGGACTCTGGCACACACAACACAACTTCCTTGTTTTGGTGCGTCTTTGTTGGGATGGAAGACAATATTTTATATATATAGTTATTGGAATTAACCTTGTTCAATGTACCCTTTACCAGTGGAGTTTGTTTCTTTAAATATTGCTTTGTGCTCTTAGCTTGAGTTAGGAAATTAGGTGACTTGGGTTTTTAATGTCTAGAGCAGGGGGGGTTTTTTTTTGTTTTTTTATTATTTATGTTTCTGCATAATTTTTCGTAAACTCTAACTTTCGTTTTCATATGTATGAGAGCCTTAATATTTGATTGTCTGCATGCAATTTAGTTAGGGCACCTACACCCCGAAAGGCAAGGACAATTTAGTTAGGGCACCTCCATCCCGAAAGGCAAGGACAAGACAAAGGTAAGGCAAGGTTTGTCATTATTCATGTCAATAATAGCAGCCTTGTCTCCACCCCAAAAGGCAATAGCAAAGGCAATTACTATTCACTTTTTTTTATTTTTTATTTTTTATACTTAAATCATTAATTTTGATAAACTTTTCGGATAAGATTTTCGGTTGCCACGTGTCACTATTTATTATAAAATTCGCACATAAAATTTCAGATAACATTTTCGGATTAAATTTTCTAATTAAATTTTCGGATAAGATTTTCAGTTGCCACATGTCCATATTTATTATAAAATTCACATCTCACTCATCATACAATTGAAATACCTACTCACTCATCATACAATTGAAATACTTTCAATCCTCGTAGTCTGACACAATCGAGTACAAGGGCGACTCAATCATTGGCATAGGCGGTTCCACCAGATCACAACGTAGGGGAGTATTTTCCTTCAGATGACGTAATAGTGCCATTATTTCTGACACAGAACGCATCACTAAAACCGACTGCTAGCATTGTTAACTTGAGGAGCCATGTGTAATGGTTTTCCTAACTTTTGTTTTGCCTTGAATAATCTATTAAAATGAAATTGGAAATAACTGCCCGAAAAAAAAAAAAAAAAAAAAAAAAAAAAAAAAAAAAAAAAATTAAATTGAATAAAAAAATAAATTTTTTTTTTTTCGTCGCCAAGATTTTGACCTCTTCGAACGTTTGTCCACGACCCTCCGGCTTCGATAGAAAAGGTCATTTGTATTTTTGCACAAATGGAATTTTGTAGTAGAAAATTTGGTGTGGAAAGTAAAAAATATTGGAACTAGATGAATTTGTATGAAGATTTGGTGTAGAAAGTGAATAATATTGGTAGGTAATAGAAAAAATTTCCATAATTTTTTGATATTTTTCACAAATTCTTTTGATTGTTTTTTTTTCAATTTTTTTAAGCCAAAAATTGGACAATCTTTGGATTGGATAAGTTTTTTGGATCAAAGGCTCCAGGAGAAGACACATGGCTTGTAACCATTGGTTTCTGTGGGCTGGTGGGTCAGCGCTAAAGTCAGCGGCTGATTTTCAAATTTTTTCTAGGGAGTTTCACTAAAACACCCAAAATGGGAGCTGAAATTATAAAAAAAACCCAACACCCAAAACACTTTATAAACACACCCAAAACTCATCATTACACACACTCAAAACCCATTTATAAACACACCAAAAAATATACAATTGTTGACTTTGGGGTTGATTTTGGGTGTGTTTCTATGTTTAAATAGTGTTTGGGTTTTTTTATAAATACATGTCTAGGATTGGGTTTATTTATAAATTTGTATTTTTTCTACTGTTGATGTGTGGAATACACACGCCAACAGCAAAAAAATAAATATTGAAAAACAGCTGCTGATGTCAGCATCACATCACATAATGGTGGGTTTAGGCTTGCACTGGAGGTGGTCTTAGGCTTTATCAAAACACTGAAATTTACCACAAAATCATTCTTGCAATTTATTAATTATATTTTACTAATTTCAAATCGCATTGGCAAGTTCATCACATAATGGTAGAAGAAATTTGAAACAGAGTACTTGATGGAAAGAAAAAAAAAACACAGAGAAGAATGACCAATGAACTAAACCGGTTACTTAGATCTTCAATCGTTTCTACACTTTACAATACACAAAATAATGGCACAATTGATTCACATAATACAATTAGAAACTACTTATATAACTTAGATTACACGACTGTAAAACATAACCCAATCAGTAGAAACTCCAAAACTCTCGAGCAACAAGAACAAAATTTGAGCATGGAGGACAAAATGCCACAATCATCGGTTAATATATAGCAAAATGTAGACAATAGTTCTTATGGCATAGATCACTATGCATGATCCAGCAGCCTACACAGCTCAAAAGAACCTTTCCCAGTTCAACCATCTTCAATGCTTGCGTTTTTTATGCGTTGTGTCTGCAGTTTTCTTTGACCTGGAAATCAAAAAATATAGAACCAGTCATCTCAACGGATATTCTCAAGTGCACAAGAATACACAAATTAAACATAAAAATAGTACTTAATTAAACAATGTTCCAGCTGATTGTATTCCAGCAGTAAATAAACTAATTACATCCTAATATCTGTAGAAAAACATTTTTTCCTGACTTTCTCAACTAGCAGCTTACATTCCATTCAAATTCCATTGAAAACATTGATTTCCTACATTTGTGAAAACGTGTCAGTAACAGCACTCCAGGAGAATTCACTGACACAAGTTAAACTTCAGCCTGTGTTTTAAGATATTTGCTATTGTGCAGCTGATTTCAGTCTACATTTTGCAAGCAGTACAATACAACACACACGCAAGGAAAACTTTGATTTCCTACTCACCAGGTAAACCAGGAGGAACCCTTTTAAACCGATATTCAAATCTCAACAAAGTACTTTTTTTTTAATAAGTGGCTGTTGGATTTCTACTTTACTGAGAATAAATTCTTTGTTCATCAATGAGTGACTATGTTTGTGTCTATGAGCGTGCTTGCATGTGTGCATTTAACGCTCATCGATGAGTAGGAATATGTGTGCGTGTTTGTATGCAGTTAAATCAAGAAACAAAATCATTTGCTCAAAATGGTTGATCAGAAGATCAACAAACAAAACAGTATTTGTCAAAATGTTAAATCTTATATGCATAATGGAAGTATGATTAGTAACTTTATTAATCTGGATATTAGCAAAGTAAGAAAAGAAAAGAGAAAAAATAATAATAATAAAGAAAGGCTAGTCTTGTCAGGTTTTGCCACAGACTTTGAGACACCAGCACACCTCCGACCATGCATTGGCTCTTCAAGCCCAAATATCATGACAACACTGCTAAATTTTGAGTACAGGCTGACTAGCATTCTTATCCAAAGGCATCACATATGTGTAGTATACTAATCGACTAACCTTGCTTTCTGATCTGGAGACATCAAATTGTTAACAGCATGAACAATCATTTTCTTGACCTGTTTCAAGAGGAGCAGAAGAATAAGTCTTTTGTAATTTGTCTCACATAATACAATTCTTGTGTGCATATCATAATAGCCTATATCTGTACCATCCAGGACTGAAATGATCACCTAATTAGGTCTCTAGATAATACTCAAAGCAGAACCCATCAGTATGCGTGTGTGGTGTGTGTGTGTGTGCGTATCAACTAAAACGGAGATAGAATTCAAACAAAACCTTAAATTAACACAAAATCGTTCAACAAATGATGACAAAAATATAAAATGAAAAAGAAGCTCATTTTAGGCATAAGTTCGAACAATCATACTAACCCACCAAATCAAGAAAAAGACCCAGGCAACTCAAGACATTAGAATAAGCAATATATCAGTTGGTCAGGTTACCCATCTAATGTATTTAACATTTATCAGAACATGCTGATATAACAACATTGACATCCTATTTTAAAGATAAAGAAATCTACATACCTCTAACTTGTCCTCTTTTGCCCTATGATTTTGTGGAAGTTTTCGGAACTCTTCTGTCATGCGGAAGCACTCGCTGACATTTTCAGGTGAAACGAAGTCCATCGCAACTTTGATGCATGACTGAAAAAAATAAATAAATAAATACATTGAACTCTGGAAACCAAAACAAACGAATTTCATATTTCACAAACAGAGCAAGAAAAGTTTTACATTGAAGATAAAAAAACATATATCCTTTCAAATGCATGTTCAGTAAAAGATTAATAAGAGTTAAGATAGAAAGCCTATGAAAAAACATTAGGACATAACAAATTTCAACAGATACGTGGTCTCTTTTTCCCCAATTATACATGGAAAATAAGTTATTACACTTGAAATTGCTAACAAGATCAATTCCAGGAAGGGATCTCTAAATAATTCATCAAAAAGGCCATGTATTGTATGGTAACTATACATTGATGCTTTTACTTTACAGGAAAATTATTCTATAAAAGAAGGCAATTAATAGAAGGCAAAGGTATGACAGACAATTTCAGACACTAAATACCAGCAGATCTGGTCTGATATAAACTTTAAAAAAAACAAAACAAAACAAAAAGGTAGAGCATCAAGTACATGCAAAAGTAAACCTGAATATCATTTAACAAGTTACCTTCAAGTTTCTTACTTGATGTGGACAACCCGCAGGAATAAAGACAGCATCCCCAAGTTTTTGGACAAACGTCCATGGTTCAATTCCTATTAGAACGCACAAAAGCATAAGATATATAATTTGAATCCAATTACTCATAAGTATTTAATGAACTAACCATATTCTTCCTTGAGCTTCTTTTTATGCTCCAGAGTCAGATAAAGGTCTGATCATGTATGGGATGAATAACCTACACCATCAAAAAAACCACATTATATGATGAAAAATTAGATAAAAACAAAAAATATATGCATATAAATACGTCAATAACTTTCCTATCTGAAACACTAAATCAGATGGGCTACAATTTTGCAAGTGGAAGCAAGATTTCACGCACTACCAAATTGCCAGCGCATCTTTACTGAATCCCATTAAATAGCCCCATCAAATTTGGTGAGTCAGCCAATTAACCTTATATTTTCATAAGAAGAAACTTTCATTGGAAGAAAATAATAGTATACAAGTCAGGGGACAATAAATGACCAGAAGAAGAAACTTTCATAAAGAAAAATTGGCTGGAGGTGCACTGAAAGATCCAAAGCCAATGTATAATGACCATAAAAGAAGGGAAACAATCAATAGAAAGCAAAAAATTCCATTTACAGATACACGACCTATTATTGAGGCCATACAAACCCGAATAAGGAAACCCTAAAACAGACCTCATATGGAAGTCTGAAATATCTAAGTAAAAATCAAATTATATTGAAAACTCTAAGCCACACCAAGATGTCGTGGCACACAAGTGCGTAAGTGCACCTCATGAAATCCATCAATGACTTGAGTTTATATTCAGTCGTATATCAAATTATTCATACATTTCTGTAGTAATCCAACTCAAATAAATTTTGCCTAAATCAATACATACTAAGCACAACAAGAAAAATAATTCACTTCCTTGAGCACCAACCAATGTCACTTTGTCCAACCAAAAGAATGCAGAAATATGGATAATTCAAAACTAATATATTGATTATGTAATAGGCCTAAACCATTACTATTGCAGCATTATCTCCAAGAGATAAAAATTATCTAGCTTTAGAATTGTTACTTAGCAATTACCTGCTGCAATGGACAACAGTGTATGTGCCTGAATTCCTTAGAGTGCTTCCTGAGGTATTCTTCCAGCTTAGGAACATCCTGCCTCCGGAAAATGTCCCACAAAGCACCACCTTCTGCTTCATTTGACCTTTCCAACTTATTCCCAGTATTTATTGAATGCTCACTATTTTCACCACTTTCATCATGATCTAATTTTTCCTCTACACTCTTTCCAGACTCCGATCCCTTTGAAACAATCTTTTCAGACTCAGATCCCTTTGAAAAGTTTCCATCATTCCCAACATTTGATTTATCCAACTCTTGAACCGATGAACCACTTTTTTTATTACCAACTTCAAGACAAAATTCTTTATCATTTGCATCCCTGGAACACGATCCACTGCCAGGATTACCACTATCCGTAAAGTCATCCTGAGTCTGACAATCCCCAGAAAATTCCCTTTGGTCTTGCTCCATATGCTTTTTCTTCAACTTTTCTATAGTAGCAAGTTGCTTAGGAGTAAGGGTCACTTCAGTAGTATGTGTCAAAACATTGACCTGAAACAAATTAGTCAGGACAAAATATGCTGAAAGTTATAATATGAAAAGGAGGGGGGGTTGGTAAAGACATGAAGTATAAATGGAACAAATTCAAATGATTCTCCTCTGTCACCTACTTGCATCAATTATGCAGTAATTCTAAACCAAAAGGATAAACATACGAGCATGACATATTGAACACATTCTGCACATGTCACGGTGACATTTAAGGATACAGACACATATGAATGCCTTGCAACTAACTATTTTAAATTTTCTGATATGTCTCAGCGGTTTATAATTTTTGTTTGAATCAAAACAATGACCGAGCATTGACTTTATTTACAATATATATTCAGGTGAAGACTCCAACCAGAAAGGTCAGATGGGCAGTTATTAGCACAACCACTACCAGCATGCACAAGATAAATTCATCTGGTTATTGCTTATTCCATGCATCTCACATCCTAAAAGACCACTACATTCTGAAAGAAACCACATGCAGCCCTACAAACACACAACACCCACCCCCCCCTTCTAAATATATATATATATATATATATAACAAGAGAAAGAAGGATTACCGCATCAGACATATCACAGTGAAGCTTGGTTACAGAATCTCCACGCCCAAGCTCCTGGGCAAAACCATAGGCAATATATGTCTTGGGCCCCATGTCAGGCTTTACATAATCCTTAGGCTTCTTAGGCAATTTGGTCGCGAGGTTCAGATAACCACTGCGAGGATGGGTATATTCCTTGAATGGCAAACAACAAATAAACTCAGCACCATGACGAGGAAGGCGCTCCTCAAATAAATTAGACGGCGGCCAATCCTTAAGTTTCAGAATCTGAGGCCAATTTTCCCAATCAAACCGGCCCTTCGAATATCCAGTAAAAAATTGGTGTATATTGATATCCGCCTACATTTCATCACAAGTTAATATAACTTATCAAAATCAAACCATCAATAAACATAGAACAGTTCAAGTTTTGAAGAGAGTGATAACTATAGTGGGAGGACAAAGTGGAAAGAAATTATGAACAATGCCCCTAAACAATCCATCAAGAAATAAAAACTTCTGACAAATTAAAATGATGTTAGATTAAGAGACTAACAAGCACATAAAAATGATAAATAAACACAATACAGAATATGCTAATCAGATTATCAAATATCTAAAAACGACTGGATTGAGATGATGAAAAAACCAGTGGTAATGACCACCCCCCTTAACATCAATCTAAAATGAGGTTTGTGATTCTGACAACATACAGAAACAAGGTTTTTGCATTTGTAAAATCCCTCGTATAAACATGCATAGAAAAAGAAAATCCACTAAACTCCTTTGTTTGACCACACTTACAAACTCATTACATTAAGTAGTTTCCCATTCGAGCTCAACTTTCCAAGATGGTGATTAGTTCAGTTGAATCACTTCATGTAAAAAGAAAAGCTCATTTGACAATATTCAAAACCTGATTAGGAAGATCTGAATGGCAATTCTGCGCTAGAATTATTATTAAAGAAACAAATCTAGATCCCTGCCTAATATTTAGTTGGTTAGCATTCCAAATCAACAAAAAGAAATTTATTGCTTATTTATAAATGAATGTATTTGGGTACATAATTATATACATGAGTTGTTTCACATTAAACACATATCAATTAATTAATATGAGCTGAGACTGAGACAAGTTGAAAACCTTCCATGTACTTACCCAGAACAAATTTTCTGCAACCATGTAGACTGGTGTTCATAAATTTTATACTATCTGAACAGATTCTTTTTTCTCGTCCAACATATATATTCAGCAAAGAATACTTAAAACACATGAGCCATGGGAAAATAAACAATTTATGATTTAGACCAATGACCATAAAGATGTTTGTGCTTTATTCAGACTGCACAAAGCAGTATTAACAAACCCCCTATAAAATTTCTACCATCAAAATATCCACCTAAATTGATGAAAAAACCTGTACAGTACAGATATTTCTCAAATATTATCACACTATAACTTTAAAAAGTTAACATATTTAAAACATCATTACAGCCAGCAGTGAGCAATTAGAAATATAATTATAAATAGTACTAAGCAATTCAAAGCCAGAGAATAACTGACCTCACACCAATCCAAGCAGTCAATGGTCTTCACATCCAAATGTCTACCATGCTTAATATGTTTCATCTGACGACAAGCACGCCACATGACCAATGGTTCCCAGCTTAAACCATTTGTAGTTTCAAGCACATTACTCACAATTACGGGCTCACCCCTGAACCAATGCCACTGAAAATGCTTAAAATCATCACACTGGATATCTCCAGCCCTTGGACAGTACAAATAGTTATCATCAGAAGCAACTCTAGAAGCTGCTTTCCTTGATTTAGTGCTGCTTGAGCCAACATCGTCCACAGAGTTGAGACATGAACACCTTTCTGTCAAAGTTTCACTTAAACGCATGAGATTGTAAGCTTTGTCTATTTCTTCTGCTTTCTTTACCAACTCCCTGATGTGATTTTCGGGAAACATGCATCTCAATTCTAAAATACCATCACCACAACCATTCATGTCCTTTGGGGGGCAAGGAATATTTCCATCTTCATTTGGTTTCCACTCAAATGTTGACCTTCCAGAACACTTAGGGCTAGTTTCTGGAGGCAGTTCCACCTTTTCCTTTCCACCATGCAAATAGTCTAGGCCCCGACTGACATATTCCATAATCACTTCCTCCCCACCTCCCTGCAAGCGTCCATCTCGGATCTCCCGACAACAGTTGAGGCAGAGGTCATATGAACAACTAGGACAGGTTCTGTGAAGATCAAAAATCGAAGTTTTGCAGTTGTTGCTGACAAAGAAATATATAAACAAAGTTAATATCAAATGATTAATCAGACTGCAGAATAAATGTAATATAGAATATATTCCGGGTAATGGCTCTACCAATACACACGCTCATCAGCTTTTACATCTGACTTTTTGTCTTTAGCTCCAAAACAGTTAAACCTGTCCCATAGAATGTCCAAAATGAAAATTTTAAAAAAGGGTAAAAGCACATTAATATTTTGTGTTGTAAGACTCAGATGGTGGTGGTCACATCTTTCATGAACTAAGATAATTTTGCATGTTTTCCCTCCCCCACTATATATATATACACACACACACAAATGTAGCCATCTGAACACAAACCTACAACCACGCCCTTTTAATTATTAGACTAATTATTCCTTGCCTCAGAATCAAAACACAAGGTGGTGAGAAACAAGAGTTAATCCTGTAATGAGTTCCAACACCTGTGTGAAAGAGACAGAAAGAATGTACCTTGTCTCCTAGCCTCCATCTCCATCTCAATAACTTGCTCATCATTAATTCTTTTCAAGAATGGAAGCAAAGTATGAATCAAATATTTAGAGTGCTCAACTTTTTCACCGTCCTCAATTTTAAAATCCAGGATCAAATTCTGCAATATAACCAATAAATCTAATCAAACTTTACTGACATATAATTCAGGAGATTTGCACACAAGGAGAGAAACTGACCTTCACAGGTACATCTATGCGCAAGCATGCTTTGCAATTGCAATTTCCACGGCATACTGGACAAGACTCAGCAATGGCATCCTCTGATGTCTGAGGATACCTAGACAGTACAAAACTTGACAATAAATACTCACAAAAACTATGCAAAGAGAGTTGGTGTGTCAAAATAATTGGAGATTCGCAACCAGACATACACAGAGACCTCTATTAAAGCCACATCCAATCCTAATAGACACCAGGTTTCATCCACTAAAATTTGATTCTAAGGCCTTTAACAAGTATGAGCATCTTACCGAGTAAAAGAACATGTTGCTTGATTTCAGGCTTAGTCAAATGCATATTATTCACAAAGAACCAGATAGCAGAAACTATTAGTACTCAAAGTAAGCAAGTTATATAAGTTTTCACAACCTTGTTCAAAGACCTAATCAGTTGCCATTCCTCAGTAGACTCTACCCTACAATTTTTCAAGTATTTATTTCTAAGAAAGTGCAATACTCACCCCATATTCCATGTGAGTCAGTTGACTTCGATTACCACTAATATCATGCATAAAACCCAAGCACCAAAACATAATTTATTTTTTTTAAAGGGAAAAGGATAAGGCCCTATTCTGCAACTTTCTTATGTAACTATCACCAATTTTATTATATAAAAATTCCATAATCCCCTTCTTTTTCAAAATGAAATACAATATCTTATTTACTGGATTCTACTGAGGCAAACTCACTTCAAAGAAACGTGGCTAGTCCAACAAATCAAACTCAAACAATCCAGCATATTTTACCAGTTGGTAATCAGAAATAAATAAGAAAGATGAAACAGATAAATGCATACCAGTTCTGTATGCAAGGAACGCAATATCGTTTTCTCTTACAACTTTTGCAGCGAACAACCCTGCCCTTGTCATTCCTCTGACATTGATGGCACATTAAGGATTGCTCCTCAACAAACTGTTAAAAACCAAAATCAGCAATTACATAAATCAACAATAGTGACAACAAAAGGCATAAACAGGGAGTAACAGGTTTCTTACTTCTTTAGAATGCTTATTTTTTGTTTGCTCTTCTTGCATTAGAGGAACTTTTACAGGCCTAAGCGAATAACCTGCCGACTTTCTCAAACTTTCATCAGAGTTCCCCAAATCTCTGCTTCTCTTCCTTCCTCGGCTCTCCCTCTCAGACAAGGCAACCCCTTTACCTTCCCCTTCCTCTCCATTTTGTTTTTCCAAACTATGCTCCTCCTTCCCCATTATGATTTCCACTCTATCAGCCTCCAAATCTTTCTTACTCTTCCTGCCACGCTTCTTCTTCTTCATAGTCTCAGCAACCCCTTTATCTTCCCCTTCCTCTCCATTTTGTTTTTCCAAACTATGCTCCTCCTTCCCCATTATGATTTCCACTTTATCAGCCTCCAAATCTTTCTTACTCTTCCTGCCACGCTTCTTCTTCTTCATAGTCTCAGCAACCCCTTTTGACCCATCACTTTGATTCCCCAAAGTCTCCTCCTTTTCCAAGCTACCGTTTTCTGAGACACCATTCTCGTGAGTTTCCTGGACTTCTTGGTCTCTGTGGCTTTCTGGGTCTTCTTGCTTTGACCCGTTTCTGCCTCCGCCTCTACCTCTGCCTCTTCCTCTTCCTCTTCCTCTTCCTCTTCCTCTTCCCGCCATCACAACCCAAATTTGATAACTCGCTCAAACCTTTTCGTATTCTCTCCCTTCTGGACAAAAGTGTTATATGGGGCTGTCAGTGAGATTGTGTTCGTGCGGGGGGAAACTCAAATTTATTTAGGAGAAAGAAAGTTAGATAATTTATAGGAAACTAAAGAGAAGATGGAAAGTACAGAAACTATGGGGACTTGGCTGGATGGATGGGTTAAATTAATTAATTTTGGAAAGAAAAAAAAACTGTGGGCAAAAGCGGACTGCGGGGGAATTTTGAAAACATGGCGCCACAACAAGTCTTCTTCAATTCAAGGGTTGTTTTCACTTGTGATTTGACTACGGACCCTCTGGGAGGTAAATATTAATTTATATTTTGGATGATGAAGAGAGAATACACCATTGGGAACACAACAAGAAGCCAAACCTCAACCTTTTCTTCTTGGATACGGTATCTCACTGTCCCATACACAGGCTATCTCTAGGCCTGTCTTGGACATGTCAGAAAAGACAGGGGCTTTTACTTTGCTTGTGTCTTTTTTTCTGTTCATTTAGGAGAGGTTGTAGTTGTTGGTTTGGGCCTGTCAAAATGTGGTCGGTATTGAATTTCTTCAACATGGGCTTCTGAGGCTCTGATGATTGAAGAGAATTTCAGTGTTTTATTACCCAAAAAAGTGAAGGTCAGTGTTTTCTGATTTATTAAAGGAGAACCAAAACAAGTAAGAAAATATGTTCAAGGGTCAAAAGCAAGAAGACCCAGAAAATTTAGTCCAGTTAGGTCAAAGGTCAACATAAAGAATATTTAAAATTAATGAGAGGCTCTCTCTCTCTCTCCATAATTCTCAAACTCATTTTCCTTTAACAATTAACGTTCCATTTCAATTGTGATTTTGCTTGATTTCTGCTACAACAATTCAGCCCGCGAAGGACATTCCTAAGCCCATTTAAAGTTTTTTTCTGGTTTTCGATGATTTTAAAAAAAAATTAATTCATGTTTTTAACCTTCTAGTAATAAGCTTTGTCATTAGCTTTTAATTAAACTGTGATTCAGACTAGATTTATCCTCTGTAGTAGATAAATATTGAAGTCATTATTCACTCAAGGCGTAAAAAGAAAAAAGAAATTGTTTAACCAATTAAGAGCTAGCTCCCCACTGGGAGCATAATGGTTTGATTTTTAGAAGTCTTGTTACTTAAGGCACAAGTTATCTATTTATTCAATGTGTTTGCATATTTATAAGGCTAGTGAGATTAGGGAAAAATAGCAGGCACTACTTACAAAACAACACGTGTGTTTTTTTCTTTTAGTTATTTACATTAACACTCCTTCTAGTTTTTGGTGTTTTCACAAAACCCCTTCATATTTTAGAAATTACACAAACACCCCTCTGAGGTTTCAAATTGTTTTAACAAAACCCCTTCCATCAATTTTACACCTACAAATTGTTGATGACATAAAAAAAGTTTCTCCAAATGACAATGTTAACCTTTGAGATTAGATTGCACATCTTAAGGCTAATCGGTAAGTAAATTTTGTTATTTAAAGAATTTTTTTTATGAAATCATCAATTCTTTTGACGGAAAATGGTTTTGTGAAAACAAATTGAAAGCTCAGATGGTGTTAGTGTAATTTCTAAAACATGGAGAGGTTTTATTAAAACACCACAAACTTCAGGGAAGTGTCAGTGTAAATAACTCTTTTTTTTCTTCCCACTCTTTAACTCAATGACTAGTTTTTTAACTCATGTAAGATTCAACCTCTCTCTTTTTCCATTTGGCAAACACCCAACTCTGATCACCAGAGATGTAAACCTCCAGCCATTGGTGACTCTGTCTTCCCCCTTATTTATTTTCTTTGAGTTATTTGCACTAACAAAGGTTTTTGGTGTTTTCCCCCTTGAGGTTTTGCAAATTACACAAATACCCCATGAGGTTTCAAATTGTTTTCCCAAAACCCCTTTCGTCAATTTTCCACCTACAAATTATTGATGACATCAAAAAGCAAAATTCAAGTGACAATGTTAACCTTTGAGATTAGATTACACATACACCCTTAAGGTCTAATCAGTGAGTAAATTTTGTCAATTGAAGAAATTTTTTGAATGAAATCATTTCTTCGATGGAAAATTAAAGAAAATGATTTTGTGAAAACAAATTGAAACCTCAGGTAGTGTTAGTGTAATTTTTGAAACCTCAGGGGTGTTAGTGTAAATAACCATTTTTTTTCTTTCCAACTCTTTAACTCAATGAGGTTCAACCACTTTGTCTCTTTCCATTTGGCAAACACCCAACTCCGATCACTGAAGACGTAAACCACCGGCCATCAGTGACTTTAACCTCCAACGAACTAACCCAAACAACTTGAACCTCCCTCTTTCTCTATCTTCCCCACTTGTCTGTCTTCAAACTAACCCAAGCAGTGCCCTACCCTCCTTTCTCTATTGCTTTGCTTTACCGATCTCCATCCACATGTGCCAAGAACTCTCTGACGTAGTACGTAGCCACTACAATTACATGATTATTGGGTAAGTATGAGATAGTGTACCTAATTACCAAGTAAATATGAGATAATGTACATGATTATTAAGTAACTATGAGATATGTACCTAACATATAGGTAGTATTTTCTAATGTACTTGGTAAACCAGTGGTAACGTGGGAAGATGTTTAGTGATGTACCTAATCTAAGGCATAGTTAGGGTTTTGGGTTGGTATGCATTGAAAAGAGGTATGTTTACGGTTTCGACTAAGTATATTTGGAACATAGTGATAAATATAGTTTTGGGTGATTTGTAGGTGGAGATGTGATTTGTGGGATGTGTCAGGTGAATTTTCCATTTGTAATTAATGGAATATATTCTAAATATCATCATTATTATGACATAAATTAATTTCTTACATTATTTATGTTTTAGGTCATAATTAGAACTACAAATAAGTATATAAAAAAATATATATGTAAACATATAAAAAAGAAGAAGGAATGTAGTCCTATATGGCACAAAAGTCAAAGGACTTAGATCAGCAACAACAAATATGTAGACTGCACCCAACTTCTATTTTTGGTTTTGAACTTATCCCAAATTTTCTATTTAAATTTATTTGCTTTTACTCACTTGACTAGTGATTTCTTACTAAACAACTACACTAAAATTTTGTGCATGTGATCTGGTCTAGCCAATTTTAATTTTCACGAATCCTGATTGCCAATCTCTTGGGCTTTCCCAAATTTATCAAATTGTTGGTCTGTGAAAGAGAGTTCATGGGTTCTTGATTTTTTTTTCTTGGCGTTCATTGAAAAGTCATTTATGAAACATTGGTTTAGTGATAGGCAATTTATTCTCTCAACACTTATTTTTGCGAAGCTTTTGCTTTGATTTTTAGAGTGTTCATTGTTAGAAAATGATTTTTCATTGTTTTTATCTTTAAAATCTTTCTCAGTTTTAGTATGGCTTTCAACTTTGCATATCATTCACATAATCAGAATTTAGGCTAGCATATTCCATTTGGCTATATCAAACTATCCATGTGAACTTGGTGAGGCTGATTTGATTTAGATCAAAATCTTCATTCACACATCAATCGATTTGAATGGTGCCTTGGAGATGAATAGCCGGAGGATCTAGGTACTATTGCCATCCATAGGAAGACTTGAAGAGCTTGGTAATTAGAGGTTTGGAAAGTTGCACATGAGGTACAATTGCCACTTAGTTTAGTTATAGGTGTTTAGGCTGTATGGAATTCCTTGTATTGAGTTTATCATTTGATATAGTGATGATGCTTTGCCACGACAATTGATATCCCTTGTTTTTTCCCAAGTGGTGGGTTTCCGGGTAGCAAAATATGTGTTGATCCTGAATGTGACTTTGTGTGGTTGTTTATTCTTTGTATGCATGCTAAGTGTTTTACAAATTACTTGAATGACTTTTGAGATTAAGTGTGTATACTTTGCAAATAGTTGTACTAGATGCCTAATTCTAGATAGTAGTCATTTGCACTAAGTTTTGTTCAAGTCAGGTCTATGTGTTTGAATTGCTTATATCATGTGTATTTTATAGATCATAGAGCAACACTGTCTCTCATATACGCTTCTTGTGTGATTTATGGAATCTATACCAAAAGGCATTAAAAACTTATATATGAGTTTAGTGAATAATATTGGTTGATATGACACAAACAAATTAATTAACATCATGCTTATGACATGTTTACTAATCCGTAATCGGAATTAAAATAAGGAGTTGAATTCCTATTACGGATACTCATGTGTTTACTTTACATGGAGGAATGAAAATGTGAGTGGGACCCACACAAAGGGGTCATTTACTTACCAGGAATTGAGAAAATAACGAATTGGGGAATTTAGGAATTAGGGAAGTAATGAATCGATATGGGAAGAATCATTCCAACTAAGCTGTTTACTAATCATATGGAATCTATGCATGAATGAAGTTGATTCTCATTGTTATTGTTAACCTAAACTATGTTAATTACTAAAATGTCTTGCACATATAAATATTTTTTTTTACCTAAGTCACTTGTAAAAAAACAAGATTGACAAAACTTTATTTTATAACTAATGTATAATATAAGATACCATATGACGAGTGATGAAAAAACTAGTATATAATAATATTTGGAATATAATAAATATAAATAAAAATATAACATAGTGATAAGAAGCATAACAAGATAAGTAGAGGCTAGCAACCAAGATGAGAAGGGAAAAATTTTGCTTTTTCTAACGATGATTAATAAACCGTCATTGATTTTTTTTTAACAGAGTTTTGGGTGTTTTGGAATCATCGTAAAGTTGTATTTTTGGAGAACTAACTCATTAGAAATTCATCTTTTTTACCCATTATATCCTCACACAATTTTTAAAATTCTAAATTTACCATATACTTTAACCCAATAACGAGGGCATTTTAGTTATCAATTTGGTTTCAATTCCAAGTCATGTGAATGTAGTAAATAACTTATAAGGAATTAGTATCACTCCAACCCCAA